GAAAATCTCTATGACGGGGATTTAGACACCAAAAAAATCCAACAGTGGTAAATCAACCCCACTTTTTCCAAATCCCAAGCTGGTATTATACCTCAAAATATATTAGACTAAGGTATAAAAACTAAAAAAAAAAGGAACAGGGTTCATGGTTCCACTAGCAACCACCATCACGTTTTTCTGGTTGTCATCTATCCCAGAAAAAAAGATAGCTGGATTCGGTTTAATATGGGTGACAATTCTGATTTCTGCCATTGCTTTAAACACTGTGGCCAGTGTCAGCCAAAGTCCCTATTAAGGTAAAATAATTACTTCAGTCGGTGAAATCAGGCCGTATCATGAATAGAGGAACAAGCGCCTGTGCGTCTCACAGTCTTGTCCCGCTGTTCCCCTGATATTCCCGCTCCTAATAAGCCGATCAGAGCCAGCAAAGGCGCTCCTGTTATTTTAACGGATAAATTAGTTTGACTCTTAACTCAATAATTAAAACTGTTATGGCTTCAAGCCTGCGGAGATAATGTACCATTATTATGGTCGTTTGTTTCAATTAAATGCTTGCTGGTTTAACAATAGCAGCTGGGCACCTGAGTGTAAGCAGCCATTACTCTGCACGTGAAGACAGCTCCATCTCCATGTACGGGAAAGCTCCATAGTAGGGAATGTTTTATAGGATATATTTCACCTAATAGAAGGTGTTAAGATTCAAATAGCCAGGATCAAGCGGTATGAATTAAAATTTGACAGCTTTACTGAATAGAGAGGTATTTTTCTACTATGCAGGCTCTCTTTTCAATGTTGGAACTTTGATCCACATTCTAGCTGAAAATCCACCTGCAGGAGAGTCTTGGTATTGCAGCATGACTATTCAAAGACAATGGTGCAGAATGCATGATATTATCATGGTCAGACTTTAGTACATGAGGATGTATATTTATTAAAATAAAAGTTAGATCGAGATTCAAAAATGTTGCAGTTCAGTGGAGGAAGTTCATGCATGTGGAAGAAGCCTCTGTGTGAATGGCGCTCAGATCTAAAAATATACATTTACAGTATATGAAAAAAAGACTACAATTCAAAAATCAGTATTTACACATTTCTAGAAAACAATTACCACATCTAAAAAAGGTATGAAAATAGCATCTTCTAATTTAGAAAACATTTTTAAAGTGACTCTGGACTCTGAACATTCAAATTTCATAGACTTAACAAGCAGTAACAAATCAGCTTTAAAACGTTCCCCAACTGGCCTCTGCAACTGCAGGCACTATGGAGCAATTCATCCTCAAGATTGAAAGCAGAAGCATTAAAGTCATAAAAATAGTGACACGGAAGCTATGTTCCCCCTGCTCCCCTCTCCCGCTGTGACTCAGCAGCTCAGCTCACCCTGCTCCCCTTTTCCAGAAGTAACTCAGCAGCTCAATTCAACCATCTCTTGGATATGATTTAACACCCTTCCAGCCTTGTAGTAATTTATTTAAACATGGAGTGGATGCTCCGGAATGTGGGAGCATGAGGAGCTGAGCTGCTGAGAGCATGAATGGTCATGAAATTTGAGGACAAATTGATCCCCACTGTCTTCAGCTACAGAGGTCACCAAGGGTTTGTTTTAAAGCTGAAATCCAGGATTTTTGAAAAATCTAAATCTACCAATGCAGTTCTCCTCCCTTGCACTGCAAGGGTTACATGTTCGTTATATCTAGAGACAGAGTCTCTTCAATTGTTGAGGATCTGGATGAGCCATACAATCCTCACATACAAGGAATGACTATTGGCCCTGCATTGTACTTGATGGCTTCAATGGCCACTAGCCAGAGTGGATTAGAGAAGAGGCGACTGGTCGCACAAATAGTTCACCTTTTCATGAAAAATGAACTCACTCTAAATATCCTTGCCACCCCCACTACACATAATGGTCGTAATATCTCATGCTGCCAGTGTAGTAGTCCGCACACTGTACACAGCCATGGAGCAGGTATCCATCATAATGCTTGAAATGGCAAGCACTCATTGGTCAGCTCAGCCACATGATCATGATGCTCAATAAGAAGCACTTCTTTCTTTCTTCTGTGACACCTTACATGAAGATGAAGCCTCAAATGTGCTTCTCATTGGTCAGCATGGTCATGTGACTGTGCTGACCAATGAGGGCTTGCCATTGGGAGCATTATGATGGATACTCACTCCGGGGCTGTGTATTGCTGTGTGCGGACTGCTACACCGGCAGCACAGGGAATCACCACCGCTCATGAAAAGGTGAACTAACCCTTTAATGAACATTTTACCTTTGCAGTGTGAGAGGCCGTACTACAAGGATAATAATTTTCCTGCCAGAAGTGGGGCTTAAAGCTTATTTACTTAGTTCAGCTCTTATATACTGATCACAGGTTCACTTTTACTCTTCGGCTAAGTTTCAATGTTTCCATGCATGTTCATGCTACATGCATACATACCTCCCGACTTTCTGAGATGGGAATGAGGGACACCTATTACCAAAAGTATGTAGGCATAGGACATACCCCCCCCCCCTTCCCGGCCATGCCCCCTTAAAGGATTACAAAAAAAAAATTGTTGTTTAACCACTTGCCATCTGCAGATAGCCGAATGACAGCTACACTGCGGCCGGCCAGTTCTGGGAGGGCGTCATATGACGTCCTCCCAGAACGCGCTATCCTGCGCACCCCGGGGCGCACACCCAGCGATCTTCATGATCGTTGTGTCCTACAGACACAGATGATCATGTGATGTGGTAAAAGGCCAATCACAGCGGCCTTTTACCACGTGATCAGCCCTGTTCAATGACACGCTGATCACCGGGAAATGCAATTGCCGGTTCTCGGCTGCACTTTCCTCATGCTGTCAGAGCGTGAGGAAAGTACTGCCGAGAACCGGCAGTTGTCAGAGCGGGGATCGGCACCGATCATCAGGGCACTGATGATCAGTGCCCTGACCTGATGATCGGTGCCCAGCAGTGCCACCCACCAGTTCCGCCCACCTGTGCCCAGCAGTGCACCCACCTGTGCCACCCAGCAGTGCCACACACCTGTGCTCAGAAGTGTCACCTACCTGTGCCCAGCAGTGCCACCCACATGTGCCCACCCCCACCAGTGCCACCCACCTGTGCCCACCAGTGCCACCCACCAGTGCCCATCAGTGCAGCCCAGCAGTGCTGCCAGTTAGTGCTGTGCCAGTCAGTGCCCAGCAGTTGCGCCAGTCAATGCCTAGCAGTGCCGCCAGTCAGTGCCCAGCAGTGATGCCAGTGAGTGCCACCTATCAGTGCTGTCTATCAGTGCCACATATCAGTGCCGCCTATCCGTGCCACCTCATTAGTGCTGCCTATCAGTGCCCATCAGTGCCGCCTATTAGTGCCCATCAGTGCCGCCTCATCAACGCACATCAGTGAAGGAGAAAAATTACCTGTTTGAAAAATTTTATAATAGAAACAAAACTTTTTTTTTTCAAATTTTTTGCAATTTTTTGTTTATAGTGCAAAAAGTAAAGTGCCGAGCGGCAATTAAATACCACCAAATGAAAGCTCTATTTGTGAGAAAAAAATGATAAAAATTTCATATGGGTACAATCTTGCATTACCGCGCAATTGTCAATCAAAGTGCGGCAGCGCTGAAAGCTGAAAATTGGCCTGGTAAAGAAGGGGGTATAAGTGCCCGGTAGGCAAGTGGTTAAACCCACAAGTAGTTTTCTGACCACTACTATTCCTTTACCTTTGCTTTGGAAATATCCATATGCAGCAATTTAGAAATTGGATGAAAGGTTTAGCACTGTAAAATACTTTTTGCTAGATAAATAATGCATTTTCTATACAATTATAGAGATCAGAGCAAAATGAGGGACAAATAAGGAAGAAAGAGGTACAGAGGGACTTTGTTCCAAATGAGGGATAGTCCCTCGAAATCAGGGACAGTTGGGAGCTATGTGCATAAGGCAGGCCATTCATTTCAATGGGCTGCCATACATGCAACAAACGCGCCAAAGTAGCTCATGTACCGGTTTGGGCATTCAGTTGTCACACGTTCACGGAACGCTCTGGTGTGAATGCAGTCTTAGGTTGGATGTTGTCACCCTGGACATGGCGGACAGAAAAAAATTGGCTGTAGCAGCCAATCAAATTCTTCTTTTTATCTAACCTGCAGCACTAGAAACTGAAAAGAGAGGATTTGATTGGCTACTCTGGGGTACGAAAACCCTTTTAGTTGCATGCACCTCTTAAAAAATACTCCACCACAGGACTAAATTTGATGTGTTTTTTTTTTATTTATTAGTTTACTCTTGTGTTATAAAACATGCTGCTAGAATCCAGCGCAGCAAGCAATATTGTGAATGCCACCGCCGCCGCCGTTAACTATGCTAATCAGCGGGATTATTCATTTATTCACTTTGTAGCTCTGTCAGGCTGCTAATGGGTCATTAATTGATAATTAAAGAAGATTAGGCTGTGATACGGCGCTGCAAGACATATGTAGTTAACTCCACTAAACATTGTTTGAAACAAAATGACCACATGCTATAGCTGCAAATAAAGCTCGGGAAAACAATGTTTTTTATGTAATACTATTTATAATGTTCCCATTCCTTGAACTAACAGGTATACAGCAAAGATTGTATTGGGGAGCACAGATTAATTATGATGGACAGCGGAGGCGGGGCCACACACATAGATTTTGCTTTTTTTTCCTTTTTTTTTTTTTTTTTTTTAACTTTGGTTACTTATCGGACATGTATCTAACACCCCTGACATCTAGAGGCATTCTGGCTTAATGGACTGAAATAGGCAGCCAAGGTATTCTTCTACCTTATTACCTGTCCACTCATACACTGTTATTCTTTGTGCCCCCAGATACAGGAGCTGGTACACTCTGAAGGATCCTCTTATGACCCCAACCATCAAGTTTCACTGATAAACCGGTCCGGAATGCTCCCCAGTCACATGACCGCTCTCAGCCAATCGCAGCTTATCTCACAAATGGGAATGAAGAGTGCAGTTACACATGGCTCTCCCTCCCCACCTGGTAGTAAATCAGCCACTCCCTCACCTTCTAGCTCCACCCAAGAGGAGGACACTGATTCTCACTATAAGGTACAACTCGTAGATCGTTTGCTCAGTCATTATCAGACTGTAATTCCAAGGTTCGGAATGTTGAATCTTTTTGCCTGCATGGCATCCATTGTGTCCCTTGATTAAATTATATGTAAGGAACAAGTGACACAAATTCAGTTCTGCAGTTGGGGCGAATAAAGTGCAATTATGGGCAAAAGAACAACAAAAAACATACACTAAGGAGTCTTTTTATTGAAAAAAAAAATGCTGTACAAATGTCACAAGCATTCACACAGCCATCACAAATAATTCCCGTATTTTGTCTAATAAGTTTATTTCCTATGATTGTCATCTCCATCTAGTGTCCATAAGGCAGCATTTTCAATATTAGACAAAATGAAATTATTCATGAAAGCTTGTGACATTAAATTTTATTTCCGATTGATCCTGCCAGTAGATCCATTATTTATCCACTTCTTGTAATAGAGTGACTACATTGTTTGTTAGGTAGTGAAATTACACTGCAGCATTGTCACCTTGTGGGACAGGAAAGGCTTGGATGGACATGTAGTTTTAAATAGAGTAGGAGGCAAACCATTTAAAGGAGATCTGTCACATTCAGGGGGTAAGACCACCTGGGACTGTAGCTGGGTACCAGTCCTCGCAGATGCTGGAGCTGTGTGAAAGCACACAAACAGTGGTGTGTCAGAGTTGCAGGATCTAAGGAGCTACCTGGTCTTCACCAGAGCCACTGGAGGTGTGGATGTTGCGCTACCAAGGATGTATTTGCTGCGAGGGAACCATGGGAGTGTCAGTGACACTTCGGGAAGGGAGCCGCTGTGATGGTGAGTCTCTCATCATGGGGGTTGTGCAGGGGCCGTAGTGTGCAGGGGGGTGGCAGATTTTTTGTGTTGCCTAGGGCAGCTCAAATTCTAAATATCCTCCTGGTGGCAGCCCCCATGTTGCCTCTCTCAACCAAACGGCACGCTGGAAGGACAAGGATACTAGAAAGCAAGGTAACCTACTGCAGAAAACTGGAAAGGACCGAAGGCAAACAAACAACAAGAAACAATGCTGAGAAGGACACACACACAACAGGGGATGAAGGAATCCATGGACAGAAACCAAAGGGAATATAACTGCACAGCCAGAGGGAAAACACTGAGAACAAAGACAGGATCAAACGACATATGAATATATGAGAGTACTGAAATGGCGGTGAACACCATAGGAATCAGAGGGGTACGGCTCCTACATGGAGACAAGTTGCTCAAACACTTACACAGAGGTGCAAAGCCTTAATAATATATAAAACATTAGTGAAGCGCTATGTATAATTTTTCATATATATGTTACACTTATTGGTTTAAGTTGAATGGTAGCAGCTATCTAGTTCTCACCATCCATATAAGCGCAGGAGGATACCCCATTTAAAGCCTTAATAATACCTAGGTTAAGGGCAGATAGGCAGGAACCCGAGCAACTGAGGCAGGAGGTAAAACCTGGCGCTGGATCAATGTGCAGGAAAGTGTGACAGGATCTAAAGCCATGGATTTAATGTGGAACTAAACCCTCCTATTGTTTTTAGTCTCAACTGCCATGGTGCTGCCCATGTGATCAGTTATGACACCAGCCATTTGATGGTTTGACAGTTTGGTTGGGAGCACAAGCAAATGTGACAGTTACATTTATGGCCCTTGCTGAGAATGTAACTGTTTTTTGAAACTGTAAGTCCTCATGCAAACTTGACTTTTTTACAGTGGCTGTTTTTGGCTTTTGATGGTTTTTTTTCTACAGTTAGTAAACCCCCCCGCAAGTTATCCTATGTGTCCATGCACACATAGATTGTAATCAATGTTTTTCGGCCGGGACGGTTTTTTGGCTAAAAAAAATCCCCAAGACTAGTGGGTTTCTAGAAGTGTTTTTCAGCTGTAAAACGCTAAAAAATGCGGTAAAACGCTGCAAACCAGTGTTTTTGGTTAGAGAAAATGCTAAAAACCGCAAATTTCTGAAAATGCTGCTAAATGCTAATGCAAAAAACTCTAAAACAAAGCTGAAAAACTCACATTTTTAACATGACATTACACAGCTAACATTACCAGCATTATTAAAATGTCCCATGTGCATGAGGGCTTAAATTGATGGGTTTAGTTCCACTTTAATGGTTTCAAAAACAGTTACATTCCCAGCATGCCGAGTAAGCTGTCACCTTTGCTTGTGCTCTCAACCAGACTGTCAAACCGTCAAATAGCTGTCATTACTGATCACATGTGCAACATGATGGCAGTTGCAGATCAAACAGAGGCTAAGATGGCAGCTCCCTTGCCTGAAAAGGATGGGAGGGTTTAGTTCCGCTTTAAAGACTTTCTAAGCAGTAACAGTAACTTTTTCTTGCCTTTGGCAAAGCATACCCAAAGCATACAAATAAAAGCTGATCATTGTAAACACCCTCCGACTGTGTTACATGGTTTATCCCAACTCTGTAACTGTCATTGTTACTGGATAGTTTGGTCTGTTAAAGGAAGTGCAAAAATATCAGGTCTACTGGCAGAATCAACAGGTAACAAAACAATGGGAGGACTTAAAAAACAAAAAATTGGTGCTGGTGAAAGACTGCATGAGACATTTAATTTTCAATTTCACCCGTAGATCCACTTTAAAAGTTTTTTTTTTTCAATAATGTGGGGCAAGTAAGGAGAATAGCAAGAAACTGCAGTCTTTCTTTATGGTCACGTATGTTGGAAATACTGCTGGACACAAAGGCCTGCTATGCAAAAGAAGACGCTATTTTTAAATAGTGTCCTAATAACGTAAAGTGTTAGTTCACATTTTTAGAAAAAAATGAAAAGGTGAAGCAACACTGTACATCCTTCTCACCCCCCAGCTCCAGGTCCCCACTGTACGTAACTCCTGGAATGCTGAGCTGTCAGTGCCCACATAGCTGGTCAAGCACTGACCAATCAGGATTGCTCTGGTCTATCTTGCAAGCACTACACAGAGAAGAGGGAGAAGAATGGGGATTTCAGATCCTCAGACCACTGCATCGTCTGCAAGGACAGCTCAACATCCCGGGAGGAAAGTACAGTGGAAATCAGGGGCACAATAAGGTGTACAATGTTGATTCACCTTTTTATTTTTTTTGAAACGGTGAACACTTTAATGGAAAAGCTTTTATTTAAAGTGAACCTTTACTTTTGTCCATTCTTGACAAAGTAACTGATTTGCTGGATAGCCCTCCCCTTTGTTCCTGATAGTTACTTCCATTCACTCCCTTGCTGCCTTATTCACCTGCCAAAACCTTGTAAGATTCACCTGCCAAAACCTTGTAAGATTCTTTGTAAGTTTCAGGTTGGCTGTGGTTCAGAGATTACAAAGGGTTAGAATACACCCCCACTTGACAGCACCCACTCCCACATTAGTACTCAGGTCTATAGATTGGCTGCTAAGGCATCTGGAACTGCATGAGTGGGGGATAAAAGAGCCACACACCCCCGTACTTGGCAGTACTGGGCACTTCACAGAGTTCCACAGGGCGAATAGGGGTGGCAGTAGGTGAGTGCAGAAGGTAGGTATCAGCATCAGAGAAGGCAGGCTATCCAGCAAACCTACTACTTCAGTTACGGGTTCCTTTGCTTGAATTTTGAGTTCCTGTTCATTGGAAACCTGTTTCAGGAGACACGGGGAGGCTGAGATTGCTGATCACTTTCTTGCCTGTCATGCAAATCCTTATGCATTAATACTTTCTGAGTTGTTGACCCGTACCATTATCAGATCAGGAGTTCAAGGAATACGAAGCTGAGATAAATGCATAGACTACAGTTGTAGATCTCCTTATCATATCATATCCTTTTCATATTTGTTCTAGGTTGGTTCAAAAATTGATGCCAGAGATAGCCAGGCAACTAACTTTTCAGAAGGGCTTTAGCACACTACATCTTTTTCTAAGCACAGATGTCCTTTAATATATATATATATATATATATATATATACACACACACACAGAATTTATTGTTCTTGTATTTTTTTTTTGTAGAAGTATAAGTGAATGTGATCATTTCAAAGCAAATGTTCTCATCTGTGTTTGTTTGCATTAATATTTTAGAAATATATATGTACACGGGTTTGGCCATATGTACTCATTACAGATTTATAGACACTGTTTCCTGTTTTAGTAGTACTGCACAATGACTGTGCTTTACTGTTGCTCTCTTTGGGTCAGATCTGAAAACAATAGATTTGGTATAAGGTGTGGTTTTAAGTGGACAGAAGCCACTTTGAGAAAGGAATACAAATCTGCCCATCATTAAACAAATCTTTAGAACCTGACATTATTAATGTCTGGTGGCAGCAGTGCATGTGCAGTTATCTAAAGCCCCCACCATTTTTTTTGCTCTTGGTGTCCCATTGAGGAAATTTCCCCTCACTTCCTGTCCAAGAGATACAACAGAAAGTAAGCTCTCTCCAAAATGAAAGGAAATCAATTTTTCACTAGAACCCTCTATTCCTGCTCTGGTGACAACTTTAAAATGTTGGATTTACTCTTACTCTCCCAGTAAAAATGTTCACCAGCACAAAAAATGAGAGAATCTCTCCAACGTGGATGTGGAATGAAAACCTGGTAGGGTTTTAACGCATTCCCAATCTATTCAAAACTAAAAAAAAAATTATATGCACTTTAAGGCAGGATGTTGATAATATTACCTAACAGGGAGCACTTCAATTTCTGTTCATAAAATACCCAAAAATATAGAGCAGCAGACAAGCAAAAAACTCAAAAATATTTATAGTAAATGTTATAGTAATATGTCAAAACATGTGTTTACTGAAAATATACTATAGTTCTGCTTTAAAAGCTAATCTGTGATGGTTTTATTTTATTATATGTATGTTATTTTTATAACTTTTATGTTTTACTAAAAATAGATAAGCATTCAATAATATAACAAAGGGTTCCCAGAGCACTATGGGCATTTCAAAGAAACAACCCAGCAGAACAGCTTGCTGTTCAGCTCCCTTTGTCTGATTGAAACTTTGGGCCATCTGATACGGGAGGAATCACTGTTGTGATGACTCTTTGAAGTTGTTACATAAGGAATTGAAAATATTTACACAATTAATTTGTGTGATTATTCACTTTATCTCATCACAAGTAGATGAAATAAGTAAACAGGGATTTGTTTTCACATGATTGGATACTTGAGGTGAATATTTATACAATTTAGTGCATGAATATTCTCAACTCTTTTTGTAATTTATTATTATTATTATACAGGATTTATATAGCGCCAACAGTTTGCTCAGCGCTTTACAATATAACGGGAGACAATACAGCAACAATACAGTTCAATACAAGAGGAATAGGAGGGCCCTGCTCCTTGGAGCTTACAATCTAGGAAATCAATCTTGTTGAGTTTTGTGAACAACAGGCCATTTACGCTAAAAAGTAATGATGTGAAAGGAGACTAGAACTCAAGTTGCCAGCTGGGAATAACATAACTTTTTATATGCAATGTTTCCTATTTACCTGAATAAAAAAAAGAAAAGAACAATGTTGTTGAAAATGTTTTTTTTTTCTTTTTAGTCCTGACCATAATAAAAAAAAAGAGAATATGTCCAAAACCCAACTGTACATACCTTTTAATAGCAAGACTGTTGTTTCTTTTGCAGGGTGCTGGAGAAAAAAGACCTTCCACCGATCTTGGTAAAAAAACCCAAGAACCAGAAGAAGAAGAAGAAAAAGGACCCCAATGAGCCCCAGAAACCTGTCTCTGCTTATGCCCTATTTTTTAGGGATACTCAAGCAGCCATCAAAGGACAGAACCCTAATGCCACCTTTGGCGATGTGTCCAAGATTGTTGCATCAATGTGGGACAGCCTGGGGGAAGAACAAAAACAGGTAAGCTCTTCTAGATATAACCTACTGGAAATATTATAACTGAGGGAAATTAGAATCAAGTGCTGAGGAATGGACCATATATATGTGTATCAACCTTGGAGATACTACGAGGTCCCACAATAAGCATTGTATAATGCTTGAAGGGGGGGGGGGGGGTGGAAAAGGGAACATTCCATTTCAGAGCAGAGAGGAGTACAATGATTTTGCCAAAATTAGACTCACATATTTTCTGCTTAGATAAAATTTGATTGACAAAATTATACTTATTGTATAAGAAAGCCTTCCCATGTTTCTTTAGTTTTTGTGCATTTTATTGTTACTGTACTATTTTTTCTCAGAAAAAAATGTCAAAAAAGTAAAATAAGAAATAGCTGACAAATGCACAAAAAAATAAAAACGCACAAAACAAAACCAACCCCCAAGGGACATTTGAAGCCGAGTTTACCCTTAAAAGTACCCTAAAATAAACTTTGTCTTTGAACATTATGGGGCCTTCTTTGAAAAAAGCTATTTGCCCTGCTGTTATTCTGGTCTGATTTTGTGAGTCAATGACCTAGATAGAAGAAAAATAGATATCAGGAAAGTCAAAAATCCTTATCTGAATGTTATTTTTGGGCAAGTGACTTAATTTATTGGTACCAAAAGGTCAGTGTGACAACCTTTAGGTCTATATGTCATTAAATGAAACCTGCTCTAAAAGGAATACAGATGTTACCATTGTTGACCTTTTCCTTCTGAAAATGTTAGTTTCCTGGCTGTCTCTTTTAACAATACTTTGAGACGATCTTTTAGATTAAGAAAGTCAGAGTGAAGTCAGGACTACCGTTCTGCCTACTCGTTCCGAGCCATTGACCCATAAATTACCAAAACCACTTAATCAGCATGACAACCAAGAAGCGAGCACCAGTGGAAGATTTTATACTTCCTCATTACAGTTTTCTTTTAAAAGAAAAGATTCACTAATTCTTTGGTGTTTAATATAATGTAAAATGTGTGGATGATCCATTCATGAGGGTTCCTTCTTTCCAACAAAAATTGAAGAACCACTATAACAGAACATCAGGGGTCTCTATATTAGAAAACCAACCAATCAGCTATTTGCACAATGCCAAAAGACACTATTGGGTTGATTTACTAAAATTGGAGAGTGTAAAATCTGGTGCAGCTCTGCATAAAAACTAATCGGTTTCCAGGTTTTTTGTCAAAGCTTAATTAAACAAGCTGAAGCTATAAGCTGATTGGCTACCATGCACGGTTGCACCTGATTGTGCACTCTACGGTTTTAGTAAATGAACCCCTACGAGGCTACCACTGCTCACAGCTGGCTTTTCTTCATGATGATGCAGCCCAGTCAATTAAACCATTGAAGGCTAATAGATTTCTAGGTCTGAGTAGCGTCAGCTGAGTTGTGACAGCTGCCTGGTGGTTTAATTTAGGCAGGGAGACCTGTACTATTCAGCAACAAGGGGCCATTCTTATGGGTTTGCTACTTTCTGTTAAACGTTCTGTTTACATTTGAAAACTTCTGAAAGTAATGTTAAACCTTGCATATATAGTTTTTTTTTAATCTCTTCTAGTTTTCACACACAAGGCATTGGATAAATAATAACATAATCAGCAAAGGGACAAGCAAGTAGTATACTCATCATTTATGATTCATATATGACAATTTGTGTTTATTGCAGGCCTACAAGAGGAAGACTGAAGCAGCAAAGAAAGAGTATTTAAAGGCCCTTGCAGCCTACAGGGCAAGCCTGGTTTCCAAGGTAAATGTCAGAAAGACTGCTATTCTTTACCCTACAGGACCTTCCCCTACAACACATACATTATAGAGATTAAGGGGCGGACTGACAACTCATGGGGCCCTCGGGCAATAGGGGATCATGGGGCCCCTGTGTCCTTGACCAAACTCAAAAAAGCCTATGAAAAAGGTACCAGGGGCATCTCATGGGGCCCCCTACTGACCCCGGGCCCTCGGGCAGTGCCTGAGTTTCCAAATGGTCAGTCCGCCCCTGATAGAGATATATATGTACAGTATATCTGGAACATGATCACAGATTATATAAGGCATCATAGTTTTTTATGGCCTTTAATGTTTTCAACAGGAAAATGCCTTTTTTGGGTGTTAATATTTGGATTTTTGCATTTGTTAACCATCAAATGTGTGCAAAATTGGACACACATGGGCTACTATCTTGTTTTTGATCTAAACAATCATTAAAGTGTTAAAAAAACAAGCATTAAAGATGGTACTTCTGCGGGGTGATAAATGTGATTGGTACTTCCAAGGGGACATAGCATTTGGTTCTTTCAAGGGGTAGCAAATGTAATTGATGCTACCAATGAGTAACAAATGCTATTGGTACTTCCACAGGAGGCCTCGCCTTCCAGTGCAAGGTCAAGGCTATCATTGTGTATTTGCACATTTATAAAAATCTATACATTACAACATACAAATACAGTCTTTAATCATTTCAATGATTACATACGTATAATGTGAAAACAGAGTCTGATTTTATTTATTTGTCTTTGTTTAGAGCTACACTGACCAAGGAGAAGCCAAGAATTCTCAACCCAATCAGCCCTCCAAAATGATTCTCCCAAAACAATCCATGTATAACCTGCCCCCACAGCCCTCTTCCGCCTACCCTGGCCTTGCCTCTTTCTTTCTGTCCCCAGCTGAATTGCCAAGTTATCGTGGCCACCCTCACCCCAGCCTTTCCCGAACCCTCAATGCCAAATCAATGTTGCCCAGCCTTAGTGCCTCTCCTCCGCCCCCTTTCCAGATTAGTCCTCCCCTCCACCAGCACTTGCGCCACCCTCCCAGCTCTCTCCTCAATCAGTCTCTGAATATGCAGCAAGTACCACAACCTTCCATCCTCCCCCCCTCCATTGGACTACAGTCACCGATGAGCTCATCTCCCACAGGTCAACAGGTGAGACTAAAGAGGTTTATGCTTATTCATTTTGACTAGAAACCATCCATGTTCTATCTGCCGTTTTCTAGTTGTTTTAGGCAACATAACCACTTTTTAATTTCTTGTTTTTATTATAATATACATATGCAATACATGTCTTTTGGAATCTATAAATTCTTCGTTATTGCTTCACCATTCTTTAATTTACTATTTTTTACTAGTATATATGCTTACATTTTGCAAACTGAAAATAACAACTATTCTTTACTTCTTGCCAGTAAACTGGGCCACTTGCCACATTACTGGGCCCCCCTTATAGCATGGACTTTACACTAGCCAAGTTGGTCCAAATTTTGTTTACCTAGTGGCTACTGTTTAAGAAATTATGACTTTTCAGCTGTCCTATTGATAATTCGTATCAGTGTCCATTGCCACATGTGTAGTTCTGCACATATGTGGTCCCCATTATAGAGTTGGTGGACCCACATTTTAGGCCTAGGTGGGTTCTGATGGATTCAGTCACCTACTGCCTTGTTAAAACTACTGGGCACTCCAAAGGTAATATCCCTGTACCATACTTCCCAGTTGTGTTCCTGAAAACCTTAGACACTCTTGCTCCCAACACTTCCCTCTCTGGTAAATTTTTCAGCATTTAAAAAAAAAAAAATAGTGTGACCTTGTATTTACTATGGTAGACCTGTGAGTCAAAGCACAAAGATATCACCATCAAAGTCCTTGAGGAATATAGGAAACTATGGGGTGGTATAACCCTTCTAAATCCAGCATCTTCTATAAAAAACAAAAAAATTAGCTGTCATATCTGTATGATGTAATTATTCACATATCCATCTGCTACAATGGAGTTAGGCCAAACAAATAGTTCTCGTCATATTATTTCATTTTGGTTTGTAGAACTTACTGTCTGGTGCAACAGACCATAATTGTCTTTTTCGCAATTGTCCCCAGGACTTCTCACATCTCCCGTCAGAATTTCCAAGCAATGTTGGCCCACGATCTCCAGCCTCCTCCAATCCTCCAGGAAGCACAGAGTGGGACAATGAGTATCCCAGTAGAGAGTGTGGTATCAATCACTGCAAGTGAGTATTCAATATTCACTATTTGTCTATAACAAGTTTCAGAAATCTTTTAAATAGACGGTTCTTCAGATTTTTGTTTGTTTCCCACTTCGCAATGTATAGCTTACTTACACCACAAGAGCAGATGTTTAAATTCAAAACACAAAACACAGTGAAGAACTGTAAAACCCTGTGCAGTGATGGACAGAATGTCCTAATGGTTGCTAAATGCATAATATTTTCATTTGATACTTTTTCAATATCCACCTTGACCACTGGCATTCTAATTGTACAGTATATTACATTGCCTCCTATGACTCCCAACACTGCGCTGTCTTTAGGGTCTACAGCCTTAAACCATGTCTCATCCCCCCTGTCCTGCCCCGACTTGGCTATGACTGCCTACAACAACGCGCTGTCAGCAGCCCTTGACTCACTAGCGCCTTTAACCACACGCAACATCAGACTCCGACCCGCTCCAGCCCTGGCAGACTGATCACACCAAAACCCTCAAACGACGCAGTCGTGCCCTGGAGCGACTATGGCGCAAAACAAAATCCCAACAAGCTTTCACCTGCTACAAATCTGCCTTCCGCACCTACACCTCCTCCCTCCACGCAGCCAAACAAGCCTACTTCCTGACCCTCATCAAGGCCCTCTCCTCCAATCCTCGCCGACTCTTCTCCACCTTCAACTCTCTACTCTCTCCACCCCCACCTCCACCCAGCACCTCACTCACCGCCCTTGAGATTGCCAATCACTTCAAAAACAAGATTGACACAATTCGCAAGGACATTGCCGCAACTCACACGCCCTCTCAACCCGTCCCCTCTCACACAGCTACCCCCTCATCCCCCCTCCCCTCGACATTACCCGCAGGGACTTCGTCACTGCTCAAAACTCCTCCGACCCCCGTTCCCCCCTCACTCAGCTACCCCCCTCATCACCCCTCTCCCACGGCCCCACCACTGCTCTGACCTCCACTCCCACCCCACCCTACATTCCTCATACTGAAGCTCCCCCAACACTCCACACCTTTGACCTTACTACCATTGAGGAAGTCTCCAAGATCCTCTCTGATGCCCGCCTCACCACCTGCCCCCTCGACCCTATCCCCTCACAATTCCTACGACCTCCCTCCCCCTCCATCCTACGCTCCCTCACCCACATCTTTTAATCTCTCCCTCTCCTCGGCACTTTCCCCTCCCCACTGAAGCATGCACACATCACCCCCATACTTAAAAAGCCCTCCCTGGACCCCAATGACCCGAACAACCTCAGACCCATCTCCCTGCTCCCACTTACATCTAAACTCCTCGAGCGTCTCGTCTACACCCGCCTATGCTCTCACCTCAACGACAACAACCTCCTCGATCCCCTACAGTCTGGCTTCCGCCCCCTACACTCCACCGAAACCGCCTTACTCAAACTCTCCAACGACCTTCTAACCGCCAAAGCTAATGGCCACTATTCAGTGCTCCTACTCCTTGACCTCTCTGCGGCCTTCGACACAGTTGACCACCCCCTCCTCCTCAAAATACTACACTCCCTCGGCCTCAGAGATTCTGCTCTCTCCTGGCTCTCATCCTACCTGTCACAACGCTCTTTCAGCGTTACCTATAATGCTACCACCTCCCCCTCACTCCCCCCTCTCTGTTGGGGCCCTCAAGGCTCTGTCCTTGGGCCCCTTCTCTTCTCCATCTACACCTCCTCCCTTGGCCAACTCATACACTCTCACGGCTTCAACTACCACCTCTATGCCGACGACACACAAATCTATCTCTCAACCCCCCACCCTCACCCTTCGGTCTCTGCCCAAATCACACACCTACTGAGCGACATATCAGATTGGATGTCGCTCCACTTCCTTAAACTGAATCTCTCCAAAACCGAGCTCCTTGTCTTCCCCCCAGCCCCGAACCCCACCCCCCATTGACTTCTACATCACATCCAACAACGCCAATATCAAACCCGCTCTGCAGGCCAGAGTACTTGGTGTCATTCTGGACTCCAACCTATCCTTCCAGCCCCAAGTCCAATCTTTAACAAACTCGTGCAGACTCCCACCTCCGCAACATCGCCAAAATCCGCACGTTCCTAACCCCAGAAACCACTAAACAGCTCATCCACTCCCTCATCATATCACGACTCGACTACTGCAACTCCCTCCTCACTGGCCTGCCTCGCCGGGCTATCCCCGCTTCAGTCGATCCTGAATACGGCTGCCAGACTCATTCACCTTTCCAACCACTCCGTTTTTCCCACACCCCCTCTGCCAATCCCTCCACTGGCTTCCGATTGCGCAACGGATCAAATTTAAAATCCTAACACTGACGTACAAAGCTGTCCACCATACTGCCCCGAACTACATCACTGACCTAATATCCAAGTACCGCCCAACACGGGCTCCTCACAAGACCTCCTTCTCTCTAGTTCCCTGGTCTCCTCCTCCCATGCCCGCCTCCAGGACTTCTCCAGTGGTGTCACCCATCCTCTGGAACTCCCTGCCCCAACCCATCAGATTATCACCTACTCTCCTCTCCTTTAGGCGCACCCTGAAAACCCATCTCTTCAGGGAAGCCTACCTCCCTGCTAACTTGCTGACCTCCTCCACTCTTCCTACCACTCCATCCCCCACAGCTATCTCCTCCTGTACCACTATCCCATCCCTTCTAGATTGTAAGCTCGAAAGAGCAGGGCCCTCGATCCCCTCATGTTTTGCATTGTATTGGTATTGTTCTGTCACATGTTCTGTCCCCCTTTGTAATGTACAGCGCTGAGTGAACTATTGGCGCTTTATAAATACTGTATAATAATAATAATAATAATAATAAGTCTAATCTTACTACTAAGTACTTAGGATGTGAAAGTGTTGTCTTAGGCCAGTAATGGCGAACGTTTTTAGAGACCGAGAGTACCCAAACTGCAACCCAAAACTCACTTATTTATTGCAAAGTGCCAATACTGCAATTAAACCTGAATACTGAGGTTTTAGTTTAGAAAAAACAACCATAAATTAACATATTTTGTCTTAAAAGAAAAACACAATAATGCAGCTTCCACTGACACCAACACAAGGGAGTATAGTTCCACTGATCACTAGCACAAAGGGGCAAAGTTCCACTGATCATCAGCACAAGGGGGCAAAGTTCCACTGTTCACCAGAACAAAGGGGTAAAGTTCCACTGAGCACCAGCACAAGGGGGCAAAGTTCCTCTAACCACCAGTACACAACGGGGCAAAGTTCCCCTGACAACCAGCACAACGGGGCAAAGTTCCACTGATCACCAGCACAAGGGGGCAAAGTTTCCACTGACCACCAGCACAACGGGACAAAGTTCCACTGACCATCAGCACAACGGGGCAAAGTTCCACTGATCACCAGCACAACGGGGCAAAGTTCCACTGACCACCAGCACAAAGGGGCAAAGTTCCACTGACCACCAGCACAAGGGGGCAAAGTTCCACTGACCACCAGCACAAGGGGGACAAAGTTTCACTGACCACCAGCACAAGCTAAAATCTTGTGTTAATAAAAATAAATTTATTAAAACTCACAGCCAGTCCAATATATATATCCTTGGCAGGGCACTGACTAGCCATGCGAAAGCTCGGACGAGTCGTGGCTAATGAGTCGTGGCTTGTGACGTCATTGCTTGGCACCGTTACTCCTTTCTGGTCATGAGCATGGCCCCTATGTGCACTGTTATCCGATGGTCCGCTGCTGGGGCGATGCTGGGGCAACTTGGCTCACGTGCCAACAGAGAGGTCTCTGTGTGCCCGCTGCTGTACGCATGCGATAGGTTTGCCACCACTGTCTTAGGCTATGCACTATGACACTAAGCCTTGTGGTCTATAAGCAGAAGACAGAAGGTGAGAGACCAAAAAAGCATTCTTACCTCATGGTGAGAACGACTCTGGTTATAAGCATAATATATACAGTATATTTTCCTTACAAGCCCCAGTAGCAAGGAAAGTTTT